TTGATTAAATGATAACCAGGGAATTCAATGTGCCAAGTCATTGGTAACCCAACTCCTCTACTTCAGTAGTAAGTTTAGGTGAGTGTCCTCTGTAATGAACCTAAGTAATGATTTTTAAACTCCTAAAGACTGTGATCACCATGTGACTGTTTATAGAAAGATGCTATACTTAGGTCAAAGTAACTATAGAATTCTCATCTTCTATACTCCTTTCTTAGCATTGATAGAAGGTGAAAATCTTTTTTATTTCCTTCATTCTTATTTTTTGGTCAATTTTTTTTTTTTCCCTGTAAGCATGAATTTTCCCACTGTGGTACCACTGAACTTGAAGTTATCGGACAGCACCAACACCTGGTAAGACTACAAAACTACTCCTCTGGTGCATTGAGGGTACACTCATAACTAGGGGTGATTTTTGCTATGCACTATTTGTTATAACCATGAGGAGAATAGTCCACTAAAACAATTACAGGTAGCTGGTCTCCTAAAGGACAAGAGTTTCATTTCAATATTCTTAACTTCATATTTTTTAGGTTAAATGATGAGTGTCTTGACTTTTATATAAAGAGTGACTCACGTATATACACATTGGCTTTGCTTGACTCTGCTCAGATATATAGATATGTAGATGTGTGTAGAGAGATAGAGATAGATAGATAGTTAGATAGACAGAGATAGACTGATGCAGCAATGTTTCTGAGAAACCAATTTTCAGGAAATTGCATTGCCTTTTGTTTGGAAATGCACATTCCTAGAACACAAGTTACGAACTAACAGCCTATGTGCCGAAATAGACCATAGAACCCGGTTTCCTTTGTCCCAAATGACATGTCATTGTTGTTGTTATTATTATTATCATTACCTAACCTTTACCAATCAGAAGATTTCATACAGAAATTCAGATTTCCTGAAAAATCAGGAGACACTGTAAGAAATTGTGTGCATTTCGATCGCTGGCGATGCTGTGATTTTAAACTGCAAATGACAACAATTTAAGGGCTTCCATCCCTTCATCTTGCTGTTTCTCTTCCGTATCAAATGGTGTAAGCTACAAGCACTGAAATGCTTACCCAGAATACTCCTTGGCTTAATGGGGTATTACATGCCATCCTATTCCACCTGCAATTTTTTCTCCCAATTTCTATATTATATCAATTTTTCCTCCATAAAGTTTTTCACATTTGGGCCTATTTGCTTCCTCTCTTTGATATGACTTTCATTCAGGTCATGTTTTTCTCCCTTCAGGGCCTCTGAATGTATTGCTATCTTAATCATCACCATCCCTCCTCCCTTAACCTGGCCTCCCCCTGCCTTGCCTGACTCTGCACACCTGTTACAGATTTACAGATTTCTGCACCCAAAGCTGCCCTCAGACCTGAAGTGACACACAGAACCAGAGTCCATCTACTGAATGTGTAGTCAGCACGCAATCCTTTCCCTCCTGCCGTTTCGTGTTATTCATGCACAAACAACCAGCCAATATGCCCATTTCCCTACCACCAAATTCGGCATCTTCCCGCCTGTGATACCAGCTCCCAGCACTACCTCCTCCTTACCTGCTCAGACTGTGACTGCCATCAGGACTGGACTTCCCAGCCCACCTTAGTCTGCAGTTGCACAAGGCATTTCATCTCACCTGGTGCTTATCTCAAAATCATACCTTGTTTTCCTGATTCTCCTAAGACAGGATTTCCCCAACTATGGTCCTTAGACATCTTAGTTCAGAATCACCTCTTATTTTTAAGCATTTATTCCTTGGCTCCACCTATGGTCTCCTATATCCCTTAAGTTGGGACTTGGAATCTGATGAATCTAAAACTCAGGACGTCTAGAATTTAAAGACAACATGACCAGTAATGGCAGAAGATTGCCTAATGGTTTGAAGGGGGTGAACAAGGTTCAATTTACTTCGGAATGAACACAGTTTCAGGTCCTCCAGTGCCTTCTACCATCACTTTGACAGCCCTCTAATCTAACTGAATAAATGTGGAGGGCAAATAAGAGCCTTGGTGCCTTTCGGGAAAAAGCAAAAAAAATTGAATGAGTTAATTGAAGAATAAGTGCCTTGAGCACAAGAGTATGCGTCCTTTTTAAAATATATATATATACATATATATATATATATATTTCTCTGTCATGCTCATAACTTGTCTCTAGTCATGCCACAATTAATAAACATTGAACTGGACAAAGTCGATAAATGTTTGGGGCTGAGAAGCTAGGAAGAGTAGCAGTTCTTAGAATGGTGATTGTGATGCTGATGGCAACTACTATTGGTTGAAAGCTCACTCTGAGGTCACATGCTGCCCTCAGTGCTTTGTGTAGATCACTCGAGTGAAATGCTTACCCCAACTGCAATAAGGTGTTGCCATGACTGTTCCTATGTTAACAATGAGGAGTGTTCAGACGACACACCAAAGGGGGCAACACAGACACTGAGATGTGAGATGCAACCACCACTTTTGTTATTCATAGGGGGGATTTTTAGAACAAGTTAAAGCATTTATTTTAATTTTTTTAAAGCAAGGATAGAGGAAGGGGGAGGTTGATAAATTTAAAATTCTGATTGACAACTGTTGGGCAGGTCATATACTAAAAAAGGGATTTGATAAAAAGAACAGAATTTGGACTGGGGGACCTGGTTTTGAGATGCAAATTGCTGCTAACCAGGTCTGTAAATTTCAACAAGATCCAAAGTGTCTCTAAGCCTCAGTCCTTTAATCTATAAAATGGGGACAAGACTACTGTACATTTGGTGGTTGTAGATACCAAATGATGGAATGTATTGAAAATGCTATAAAAATATACAGTGCTGTTCCAGATTGTTCAAAGTATGAGCCAAACTCTCAGAAAACATTACTATTGGGAAGCCTGATTTTAAGAGGAAAAGAAACAGAAATAATGAAATCTCATTTTCATAGTCTCACAAAGCAGGTATTTTAGTCTCCACATAAAGCTGGTATTCTGGTCCCCAGCTAATGAAACTGCGGCTTAGGGAAGTGTAGTTAACTGCACATAGCTAGTAGGTAGCTGAACTGAGATTTATAAACCATCCCTGCCTGACTTCCAATGCCATGATCTTTCCCCTAAGCCAGTTTATCTTTTTTTTTTTTTTTTAATAAACCGACCAATATACTTTTTCTTAACATTTAAAACAAAAGACATTTATGTTTGAAAACTAACTCATCCTGATAATTCCCAATTAAGATGTTGTCATCTAGCATCTGGCTCAATTTCCTTTTATGAAATATAGTAAACATAATTTGAGTGTAGCTCAAATGAAGTGTCCAAATGAGATAAAACAGGTCACCTGGGAAATTAGATTTTATAGATTACAAGAATTCAATGCCCAAGTTGTACTTAACGGACATGATTTTTTTAAAAAGAAAACTCATCAGGAAACAATTGATTATTCCATCAATTTCTATATGACATCTATAGCATGCAGCAATTAAAGTAAAAATAAATAATATAATCTTTATAAGTGTAATAAAGAACATTTCTGTCTTCATGGATTTGGGATTTGTAAGAAAACACAGGGGGAACTTTATGTAAGTGAAATTTTTTCCCTCTACTTTGATTCTAAAGAATTCTATATAAAAGATGTTTTAATAAAAAGAAGTTTGTAGCCCTGTGGCTTTTTAAAGGAAATGATTCTGAGAACACTTCATGTCTGTATTAACTTTTATCCCCCACTATTAAATGTGGTGTCTGGGCCATTGGGCAAAAGGAATGATTTTTTTTTAGAAAAGTAAACATTTAAAAAATGAAAGTGGGGATAGGATGGGGTTTAGGAAGAGAGTGGGTGTGAGCATGAGGTACAATGAAGTTGGAGGTGTTGATTTAAACACTGTAGGAAAACATTTTTGAGCACAGATCATGTTCTGACAAGTAACTTAAACATTTTTTTGGAACATGATGAGGTGGTGGTTCTGTTCACTTTCTGTAGACTCATATAACCTGGAATTGAATCCCAGCTCCAGCACTTCTTAATTTTGTAATTGCAGGCAAGTTACTTAAACTTCTTTAAGGCTCTGTTTTCTTATGGGTAAATTGGGGCTAGTTAAGTGCTTCACAGAGTTGTCATGATGACTAAGCATAATCATCAATAAATGTCAATACACATTGTAGATGTGGTTAGTGTAATTATTATTATTTTGGTGTTGTATAACGTACTCGACATGTTTATTACCGTTTCCCATGACCTCGTAAAACAATTTTTAAAAATTTCAACTACTTAAGAGTTGTCCCTTTACAATTTAACAGATGCATAAAATGGGGCGAAAGGCACAGCATACTCATTTAGAAAAAATGTCAAATCAGTTTCCTTTAGGAGACAATAAAGGTGTTCATAAAATCAAAAGATTATAAAACCAAGCCTTCTAGTAAATAATCATGGTTTTAGAGGTAATTTCGAAAGTGCACAAATTTGTACTCATCATAGGAGAACATATTGATTTGAGTGTGTATTTCAAGTAACCCTCTTAAGCATGCGGTGCCCCTGGCTGACAGCATTCTCCCCTGGGAAGGTGGCTTCTCTAATTGCAGTGAATGGTGATTCTATTTGTAGACGTATTTTCCTACAGCATGCATCCCTTTCTGTGATTATTATTTAAAAATACTTGTCCTCAAATTATTTAGTCTTCTTGGCTATAAAGGAAAAAAAACTACAGCACTACGAGAATCTCAGAGATGATACGTATATAAATTGAAAATGCATGTTAAGTCTTACCAACAAAGTAATCTATGTTTCCTGAAACATGAGGGCTATAAGAAGCATTCTAATATTAAAGATCCTCAAACGACCACTTAGGCCAACTGTGTTAACAAAAAGAAAAAAGAAAAAAAAAGGAAGGCAAATCTTAAGTACTAATGCAGATCAGCAATACCAAGACCATTTGAAGTGCCCGGGCATTTCCCTCATCCCCCCTGCTATTCCTTGCTTACAAACAAAAACAAATTTTTCACACCAATAGAAAATCAAGAGCAAGAAAACTTACCTTCCTTCAACCAAGAAATGTTATTTTTATCATTTTCAAAATGCTCAGCTGTTCTTACTTTTATCTTTTCCAGCTCAGTTTCTGACATCTAAGTGGAAGCAGAATTTGTGATATAAAAAATTCATTAAGAACCCAAATTTATAACATTGAGTTTTATATTTAGAGACTACTGCCACATTATGGGAAAATTTCACTTCCAGCGTTTCTCAGTTCACTGCCCTGTGCTAAGTCGTCTATTTTATCCATTTGTGTTATTTTAAAATATTGAATTGAAAACTAAACTTCATATGACATTTCATTGTTCAACAATAAAGATGGCTATGTTACAACTTCTGAATGTGAAAGAACAATAGATTCACAAAAAGCCATGGGTTTCTAACAAACAAACAAACAATCAGTGGCTGTTTTCCTGTTTTTTTATAGCCTATAGAAAAAACAGGCTGCAAAGTGATCTGCAAAGATATGAATAACAAGAAAACACAAAAGGACCTTTGCAGGAATTTATTGGGTAGAGTGAGAACCTGATGACCTAAGCCAGGCCAAGGTGAGCTCCGGGAAGGCGGGAGGAGACCCATTCTGCATCTTCAGTGCAGTGCACTTGACTTTCACCGGCTTGCTCACAATGAAGGAGAGGATGTTCTGCTTGAAGCAGCAGCACCGCAATGTACTCACCTGTGTATTCCAGGAGGAGGAGGCCCGAGGTGTGGGGCTGGGGAGCAGCGTGTTGCGGCTTCCCTTATCTTGGGATGTCCAGCATTCCTCAACTATGACAGAAGTGAGCGAAGAAACAAATACACTCCCTCCCTGGGTGGTGCTACATTTGTATTGCTGCCAGAAGCATCCAACTTGCGGCTGAGAGTTTTTTTTTTTTTTTTTTTTAAGGTAATATAAAGCCTGTGGTTCAAAACAATAAAAACCTTCTCCAGGCTAGCACTCATTTAAAATGACACTCTGCAAAATCGAGGGGGAAAAAAAAAGAACTCTTTTCACATGGACAAAGTTTCTTTCCTCCCCTTCCTTCCTTCCCCACCATTCATCACCTTATGGTTAATATTAAAGGTATATGTCAAAAAGTAGTGAAAATATACACAGATTATTTGGGTTCAAAGAAAGAAAGGGAAACATTTAAAGCTACATTTTCTGGAAGTTCACCCTGCAGCTGGTATTTTGAAAAGCAAATTTCCCCCCTAAGATTTTCTAAGCAACAAAGAAGCATTTCAAGTTCTTTTGATCATCCACAGATATTCCAAAGAGGGTTCAGAATAACAATCCAAAGAAGATTTATTATTAGATTCTTAGTTAAGGATGATACTACTTTCACTGGAAGGTTAGAAACAAACAAAAAAAACCCCATAACCCTTGTGTATGCATGCTGACAAACAGATTACCATTCCTAAAAATTGTCATTTTTTTCATCATGAAAAATAATATTTATTTTTTGTCCGAAAGTAGTTTACCCCCCCGCAGTGTTCTTAACTAGACAGCTGTTCATTATTTCACGGCTTTGTGTCCCTTTCACCTTCTTTCCCAACTTCATTTCTCCTTGTACTTTGCTCCTAGTATCATTATTTTTTAAATACTACCTCCATCCGTCAAATCTCACATTAAAATAGTTTTCAATTTCACCCATTATGAATAAAATAATTACAGATTTCTTAGATAGCCAAGAAAGACCTTGAGTGGTCATATTCTATACCTTAATGTTCAAACTGTGACCCACAAAGTCTTTGGATTTCATAGAGGTTCCAAACTGTTTGCTATCATCTAATGGCATTAGTGCCCTTCCTTGAACGGACTTGTTTCTGTTATTAACATTCCTAGAAATGTTTCCTCAAATTCCGTCTCCACCCCTACCTTGAAGGCTTCTTGATCTCGCTCATCTGGAAACCATCTTTTCCTTCTCTGATCCCTCTCGTTCGTGTTAGTCTTCTGTTTTTTTCCTTCCTGACAAGACTTTTGATCCTCTGAGGGCTCAGCCTCTATCTTTGTATTTTATATCTCTTGCTCCGTACTTGACATGATTATCACAGATTAATAATTGTTGTATAAATTAAACAAGCATATCAAAACCAGATAATAGTGTTTTAGTTTGTTCCATGGTTGTAGAATACAACCAGATTCGTTTAATTTGTCTCTTTTCTATACATAATGATGGTGTTTGATGTCGTTTCCTCATGCATTTGGAGACCAGATCTTATTCTCTTGATAGTTTAATCGCTGTCTTTTGGGAAGTAAATTATCGAAATTTTATGTTTTAGTGGGGCAAGAAAGACATTTGATAAATAATAATCACAGTGATCTTAAAGCAATGAGCACACAGGAGCTAAGGAAATCTAAGATGAAAATATCTAGATTAGAAGAGGCAATTAGCCGCTGGGAGAGAATGAATGAGACAGGGGCATATTGACGCTATCACTCCTCTTAATTTATTTTTAGCTCTCTTTTAGTGTTAGATCACATGATTATTAATATCTTTGCTCAATGGAAATGCTTGTTATGCTTTTAATTTTCATAGTTGGATTTGGATCTTTGTAAGATTACAGATCACATAACTCCTTCTCTCTGGATACTTTCTAAGACAAACAACCCATTCCTAACAATGAACATGTGATGCTTCGAGGCTCATTCTGACTTTTTTGTAAGATTCTTTGATCATTTTTCTAAATTTTAAACTTATGTTTAACTTCACTATTTTCCAATTTCTTATCCTAGGACAACTCATTACTCAAACCCTTATCCATAATTCTAACCTTGGAAATTATGGATTATTCTTTGATTACAGTTTATCTTTTGATTATTCTTAACTTACATATGCTTTCCACTTGTTTAACTTTTGCAACTACCATAATTGCATATTTGAGGCCCAATATTAAATAAATTGCAACCTTTAACATCTTTGTGTAGTTTCATTCTGAGCAGGAATTTTTCTGATGATAATGTCATAACTAATTTGGAAATAATATTTAATTTTGGCTGATATAATTTAAATATGTGGTTAGTCCTAACCCTTGGAGTCTTTCTATTTTTTGCCTTATCACTTTTCTCTGCTTGGCCTTTCACTGCTGTTTGTTTTGCTTTGGCCCTTTGAACTGGCTTTTGTTCTTAAGACTATGTGATGTTACTTGAATTTCCTAAGTAGAATTTTCTTTCATTCTGAGCGCACAATTTTTCAAAGTTAGACAAATCCAATTTGAATTCTATAGCTGTCTTAATGAGTATTTGTAATTATTCCTTATGAGAGGTAAGGGTGTTAAGAAGTATAGTGTTCAATTTTTTTATCCATTTCATTAGAAAGATAAGAATAGGCACTGAGTTGGACAAGTGCCATATGGTTGATTTTTCCTGAAAATTCACTGGTTGGACATTGCATTAAGGGTATTCCATACTGATGCCAAACTTCAGACCATTTAGTCACCCACCTAACTATGTCCTTGGGCCACAGAATTCTCCAGCTGGGTATGGTTTGGACCATATTAGAAAAATGAGCTGAGGATCTGTGACCTACTTGAAAATATCAACTAATATTTTAATGCCTTGAGCTGGGCTGGATTCTGGAATGAATGAGGTGAACCCCCAGTATGATGGACCACAGGCAGGACAGATTGGTGTGGTCCAACCAGAAGTTTAAAAGTAACAGGCCAGTCACAGAAGTTAGGTAGGTCTGATTAAAATCCAAGGAGAGTGAACATCCTTTTGAAAGAATCCCCTTTCCAAATAATGTTCATCGTGGCCATTTAAATAATGAGCTGAACAATTTATAACCAAGGATTTGGTCTCAAAGGTAAAGGTTTCCTCTTAAACTCTGTCTTCTTTTTAAATTGGAGGTAGTATGAATGTATTCTGTTTTTAAAATAATTCTGAACCTTTTTATTTTCACTTAAAACTTAAATACTTTCAATTCCTAATCAAAGTCTGATTCAGAAATAGAATCCATAAGGGCAAATTATCCAGCAGAAGGCATACTTTGCCAGGAGAAAAACCTGTAAGATTATCATACATTTCATGCTCTTGTTTATGTTAGAATTGTATGCATTAAATTAGAGAATTTTAACAAATAAGTTCTATCATATTAAGCTTTTTGATTATCTTAAAAATATCCATTATCACTTGATGTTGTTTGCAAAACAATGAAATTATATGTATGATGTAGAAACATGGTCAATGTGTAGATATGTCACCAATTCAAATTATTGGATTTTGGGACGACAATTTCTAGACTAGGGCCCTCATTATATATTCAAATACTATTTTTCTGTCCCATTCTCTATATATTCTGTCTCTAGGATTCTAGTTATACCTATGTTACAACAGTTGATATTTTCAGGTACATCACAGATCCTAAACTCTTTTTTTTTTTAGTCCCTTTTCTCCATTCTTCAGATAAAATAATTGCAACAGATTTGATTCAAGGTCCCTAGTCTACTCTTAAGGCAATCTAGTATATTTTTCATTTTAGATATACTTTTTGTTTAAGAATTTATGTTTGTGTGTGTGTATAGTTCCTATTTCTTTGCTAATATTATTGAACTCCCAAAAATCATCACCATTATTCCCTTTGATTTTTTGGTGATACTTATTATGTCTAGTTCAGAGTCATTATCTGGCAACTAAAACATCTCATCTTCTGTTGACTGCTTCTTTTCTTGGTAATGGTTTACGTTTTCTTGATTCTTCATATGTCTAATATTTTCATTGTTTTCCGGACATTGGAAATGATACATTGTAGAGAATATAGACTACTAGGTCTGGCAATTAAGTTCCCCAACTCATCCTAGAAAAAGAGCTACATACCTCATTGCTAAACATCACTATAGTTACCTTCAAAGGACTCCTATCTGGGAAGATATACATGGACACCAGCACCTAGTCCATCCTTAAAAGTAATTTTGGAACTCTTCTTCTGGAATGACCATCAGAGCTACCATAGAAAGTATGACAATTAAGTTCACAAACTTTCCACCATACACTTACATTAGCAGCATTACACAAACAACTCTATTAGGTTTCATAATCTTAGTATATCAGCCCAAGCTTGGTATGACAGCCCAACCTCTAGACAGTCTCACAGTTGTGTTTGTGTTGATATGTGGCAGTGTCTTGCTGAACGGCATTCATTATTGTTGTGTGCTGTTCAACAACAGCTCTGACACCTATTCCAGAAAAAGAATTCCAAAATTGCTTTGAAGGGTAGAATAGGGACTAGTTTCAGTGCACAGCTTCCCAAGGGGAGGACTTCAAAGGTGACTGTAGTGATATTCAGCAAAGAGGAACATAGCACTTTTTCTAGGATGAGTTTATGAACTTAATCATCAGATCTCATATGCTATATTCTTTTTAAAGAGTGTTAAGATTTTCCCCCAGCAAATAGCTAAATTATTAGTGTTACTTTTAATCTTGTCAGACTTGATTTTATTTTTTCCAATGGTGGGTCATATTCCACTTTTTGCTTATCGTGGGATATACTCTCTGCTCTAGGACTTGGTTATTATGCTGAAGGCATGTCCTTTTTTAGGTGACAACTGAATGCCCAAAGTGCTCAGGGAGATATATTGACTCCAGTTAGGCCAGTGTATCTTCTAGAGCTGTATTAACTGTGGTGCCCATATTCAGTGCTCAGTCTCACAAAAGCTATTATTTACAAGATTTGTCTAAGTCTTATCCTTTGCATGCAAAGCCCAGTCATTAGCCAACAGTATGTGTATGACCCTGCCTCTTCCCTACCTTGAGCAAAGTTCCCTCTTCTTCAT